TTTTGAAATCTCACAGTATCAACTTTCGATTGACCGGTTAGTGTAAGAGAGGCAGGCCAGCAACTGGAGGGTTGCTGGTTCGAATCCCAGGTCTGTAAAGAAAGATGCTATGGTGCTAGACATTTTTTGCATTTTTATAACAATTGTCCTGCAATTCTACACTGTTTATATTGCAGAACTCACTGCCATTTCCTGGTTGCTAAAATTCTAATAGTTTGCCTAATTTCAGTTTGTGACGACAAGCAATGGTTAGTGTAGAGAATAACTGTACCATCTAAACCGCTGTGAAATAGATTATTATTAAAAATATTGTATTTTCAGATGTTTGAAGCTGGTGTACAAAAGACTCAAAAATGAAACTTAAGAACAGGAAGCATTGAAATAGCTCAGAAAAAATCTACCGCTTCTTAGACTTGCTTTCAATGAGAATGACAGATCTATAACTCACATTTCTATGTGAATTTGGTTGGGTCCCCCGAAAAGTGAAATATTGCAGCTTTCATAGGGGTAAAGGGGTAATCCATATTAATGACTACATTACTAATCTACTCCCTTACCTTGAAATCCCCATAAAAATCCATCAGTTTATGCTAGAGATATCCGTTTTTTTTGGATGCATCTCAATCCACCACATCAGTGTTGCACTCACACATCTACGGTGAAATGTGACAGAGCTAGAGCAGTGTTTGTCAGACCTTGAGACATCCCCAAAATCGGTCTTCTCACAAAATCGTCTGTAGAGTCTGAATGGTTTTGCCTACAAACTGTTTGGACCCCTCTATGGAAAGATGAGACTCTTACGAACACGTGTGTTCTCCGTTTTGCTTGGGACGTCTTGGGACTTGTCTGAAGTCGGTACAGCCGATCTGCCAACTTCTGTCTGTAGCGTCCAAACAGTTTGGGCTACACACTAATATGAAAGGTGAGACCTCTGTGGAAAGGTGAGACTCACGGACACGTACGTGATGGTTGTTTTATTCTAGGCCGCCCACGGGCCTCACAAGACTCGTCTGAAGGTCCCAGGTACCAGTTGAAAAAATGAATGGAAGTGTATATATGGAGACTGTTTAGAGACAAAAAAATGTGTTTCCTGATCTTTCTTATATCTATCTGTTGTTCCATGTAGTGAATCTGTTATTCAATGCATATGGGCTAATAGCTGTAAGGCCAAATAAAAATGGTGTGTGTGTAGTGCCTACAGAAAGTATTCACACCCCTTGACTCTTTCCACATTTTGTTGTTGTTGTTACAGCCTGAATTTAAAATGGATTAAATATAGTTTTTTTTTTTATCACTGGCCTTTATCACTTTTTCTACATTTTTCTACACTTTTTTCTACAAGTGAATTACAAATGAAAAGCTGAAATGTCTTGTCAATAAGTATTCAACCCCTTTTATGGCAAGCCTAAATAAGTTCAGGAGTAAAAATGTGCTTAACAAGTGACATAATTAGTTGATTTTTGAATGACTACCTCATCTCTGTTCCCCACACATACAATTATCTGTAAGGTCCAAGAACACAGTGGCCTCCATTATTATAATACTTTTTTTACTGATTTCCAATTGGTAGTTACAGTCTTGTCCCATCGCTGCAACTCCCGTACGGACTCGGGAGAGGTGAAGGTCGAGAGCCAAGCGTCCTCCGAAACACGACCCTGTCAAGCCGCACTGCTTCTTGACACACTGCTCACTTAACCAGCCGCACCAATGTGTCGGAGTAAACACCGTCCAGCTGGCGACTGAAGTCAGCTTGCAGTCACCCGGCCTGCCACAAGGAGTCGCTAGAGTGCGATGGGACAAGGACATCCCGGCCGGCCAAACGCTCCCCTAATCCGGACGACGCTGGGCCAATTGTGCACCGCCTTATTGGTCTCCCGGTCACGGCCGGCTGTAACACAGCCTGGGATTGAACCCGGGTCTGTAGTGATGCCTCAAGCACTGCGATGCAGTGCCTTAGACCGCTGCGCCACTCGGGAGGCCCGGCCTCCATCATTCTTAAATGGAAGAAGTTTGGAACCACCAAGACTCTTCCTAGAGCTGGCCCCCCGGCCAAACTGAGCAATTGGGGGAGAAGGGCCTTGGTCAGGGAGGTGACCAAGAACCCGATGGTCACTCTGACAGAGATCCAGAGTTCCTCTGTGGAGATGGGAGAACCTTCCAGAATCAGGCCTTTATGGTAGAATGGCCAGATGGAAGCCACTCCACAGTAAAAGGCACATGACAGCCCGCTTGGAGTTTGCCAAAAGGCACCTAAAGGACACTCAGACCATGAAAAACAAGATTCTCTGGTCTGATGAAACCAAGAATGAACTCTTTGGCCTGAATGCCAAGCGTCACGTCTGGAGGAAACCTGGCACCATCCTTACGGTGAAGCATGGTGAAGCATGACCTGAAAATAGCTGTGCAGCGACGCTCCCCATCCAACCTGACAGAGCTTGAGAGGATCTGCAGAGAAGAATGGGAGAAATTCCCCAAATACAGGTGTGCCAAGCTTCTAGCATCATACCCAAGAAGACTCGAGGCTGTAATCGCTGCCAAAGGTGCTTCAACAAAGTACTGATTAAAAGGTCTGAATACTTATGTAAATGTGATATTTCAGTTATTTTTATTTTTTGGGGGGGGGGAAAATCTAAACCTGTTTTTGCTTTGTCATTTTCGGGTATTGTGTGTAGATTGATGAGGGGGGAAAAACTATTGAATCCATTTTAGAATACGGCTGTAACGTAACAAAATGTGGGAAAAGTCAAAGGGTCTGAATACTTTCCAGATTCACTGTATAGCCTACTGCCACGCACAGCTCAATACATTAGAGGTGCCGAAGATACATTTTGCGGTTGCTTGTATATGTGTATTTAGACCTTTTTTGGAAGTACATAGCGGCTGTAACGGGAGTAAATGAAGATAGTGGGATTTTCAGGGAAGGGGGGCGTTAGAGAGGAGACATCATACCCATCGTCTCTATCTCTAACACACAGGGTGCATTCGAGCGGATCACTTTTGTCAAGTCGGTGACCATCGCCGTTGGAAGTGTGTTGCATTATGGGGATCAAAATGCATACATGTCGACTGCATGATCTTTTAAAACTTTTTTTTTGCAGTTACCCTTCACCAACTTCATCCTGCAGCAATTGCCTGCATTGTGGGAGGCTCTATTGTCAACCAATCATTAGTTGTTTTTTACTCACCCAAACGTAACCAAAGACATGACTGAAACAGGAACCAATTTGGCCATGATTCATGTATACAGTGGATCTATACAAATTAATGTTATGTTTGAGGCTCTCTCTCACTAATTGATTGTACAATGTACACTCATATGATTTCAGTTTGTGAGTGTGTGATATGGGGGTTGGAAACATGTTTATTTCGACATTATAAAGAAAAACTTTTATAAACAACGGCAACACTTCCATGTTGGTCTGAGCCTTGCTGTTGGAAAACTACATTAGTGTCAGACTTTCGGCTGTCGCAGATGCACCTCCCCGACTTCACTCCTCGACTTTCCTCCACAGTCAGTTGCTATAGCCTTACCACTCAAACGTGTTACTGGGGCAGCTTGGGCTATTTATTTTACAGTAGATGTCACATTGGAATTGGCTACATCACGTTTTAGTGGTAAGGCCCCCCAATCATTACTCTATTTATCTTACATATTGTAAATCAGTTGTAGATCAAGTGTTTCCTTTGGGCAGATGAGTGGCATCTGCTCCTCCCGGTCTCCCAATGTTTTCATCACTGTCTCTGCAAACAGGAAGGGAATCGGACTTGAGTTTTTTTCATTGGAAAGATTTGATTGAGCATTAGTAGCTATAGCGAAAGTGAAAAGGAAGTTTATTCTTATTGACTAACTGCATTAAAACTGTAGTGAACAATTTGGTTACACTTTACAATACAGTGTGCTTATTACTGTGTAGGCCTAACTCCTGTAAGTACAGTGTAACAAGTACTGTCATTACTCATTGTTACCCTGTACTTAGGGTTAGGGTACAAATTAAATAGATCATGCAATATCTCTCTTACCTTCAACAGCTGTGAATAGACCCCACAGCACCAGAAGCAGAGCAAGTCTGGATACACTTCCACACATACTGACCAACTGCAGAACCAAACGTTGACACAACACTGCCATTTCAGACCAACTACAGATATGACGTATTTACTCAGTAGAGGAACACAATAAAACTTCATCAAACCAAAGTGATGCTCCTTTGACTGGGTCAACGTAGTTATAATGGACCTTGAGAGCTGAGAGGAGGAAGTGGTGCTGTTTTTAGCTTCTACCTGTCTTAATGATGCTAGTGCATCTTGGTCTTTGTGACTGGGGTCTTTGCAGAGCACTCACCACAGAGAGGTCTAATGATCAACCACAGACACATCAACAGGTCCACTTCCTTCTTTAGACACAAACAATGATAGATTCTGCACCACCACAAGGCTGAAGGGTTCTTATATCATATAAGCCAAATGTAGATAATGGTTTGTTTTCCTCTAGAATGAACATGCTGGGTTAGATACAGTATACATATTACTATAGAGTTAATGGATCTTATTGGAAATTAAGTTTTAATGAATGGTTTAGTTTTGGGGTCTTTGTAAAGCACTCACCACAGAGAGGTGGTCATTATTGACTAAACTTATGTTTTTTTTAATGGTGTCTGTCTCGGTATCTTGACTTGAACCAGAGCCTACTTGTGGAGGTACAAAACGTTTTCTAATGGACCAATTTAGCATTAATTGTGCTACTGTTTACTTACTGAAAGACCAGGAAGAAGCGCGAGATTAGAGTAATAACGTTTTTTTTTACCTTACATTTTTTTCTGTGAATGTGCAATATTTTATCCCAAATGTATTTATTTCACCTCAATGGAAAGCTTCTTTAGACCCCATGTATTTTCTCCTTTCCTTACAGTCATGTGCGCCCTCTGCTGGTACAAAACGTGATGTTGGTTCTCTGGTACCAGTAACTGTATATGATACTGACAGTACATTTTACTTTCACTATGGAGGAGGTGGAGCGTGATTTTCTTTAATTGCTGCTTGTTGCTCCGGCCGCCCAGAGTTGCTCACTTGTGGGTGTGCTTGCAGCATATAGCATCACGTTCGATTGTGTGTCCAGAATTCAGCATAGCAAGTTTGCATGAAGGTCTGATTATTTAATGGGTAAATAGTTGAATAGATTCTCCATTTAATGAATTTATTCCCAGGTAAATAGTAATATGCTCTAAACCGCTCTGGTGACAAACAAACTTTGGAAACAGGGCAGCAATCGTCCACATGGGGGGACCGATTGGCGCAGCGGTCTAAAGGCAGTGCAAGAGGCGTCACTACAGACCCAGGTTCGATCCCGGGCTGTGTCACAACCGGCCGTGATCGGGAGTCCCATAGGGTGGTGCACAATTGGCCCAGCGTCGTCTGGGTTAGGGGAGGGTTTGGCCGGGGTAGGCCGTGATTGTAAATAATAATTTGTTTCTACACTGACTTGCCTGGTTAAATAAAATAAAAACATGGCTGGGAGAACCTATTAAAGTAAGTAAATAGTGTAACTCCAAATGCATTTGTAGGTAGGTAGGTAGCTAACAGCCATGGGGCTGCTATCCTTTCACCCTCCTCCATCTGTCAAAGTGAGAGAGTAGGCTATTCTGGATAGGGCAGGTACTTTTGGTGTAGTTCCAGTCCCTAGAAGTGAGGAAGGAGATCATAGTAACATAATATTCAGTGCTGTCTAATTTGAGTATAATGAAGTCTGTTTCTTGTGATGTTTTCTGTCCTTAGATACAGAGACCAGTGAAAGCCTGTCTGCAGATGAAGAGGTCCCAATGGAGAGCAGTGGTTCTCAGTCCTGGTCCTGGGGACTCAAAGGGGTGCACATTTTTGTTTTTGCCTTAGCACTGCACAGCTGATTGAAATGATCAACTCATCATCAAGCTTCCAGTGGTATTTATGTATTAATTTGTGATGCTATCCTTGATATGATCCTGCTGTTGTCACATGCTACACATGCACATGTGTGTGCACATGCATCTATCTAGCCAATGTTATCATGATTTGTTAAAATAGATATTATACTTTAGTCATCCACAATGACCTGGTGATGTAAAAGTCTAATAATGACATTATCCATATTCCTACAGATACCTTGCAATTGGTGATTCCTTCAAAACGATTGCCTACAGTTACCGTGTAGGGCACTGCAAGGTTGGGTGACCAGGGCCATCTGGGACTGCCTCCTAGCGGAATTCAGGTGTGTGTGTGAAGGCTACCTGTGTCCTGCATAACTTCATGAGGATGGACACGAGGACCAGGAGGGGATCTGCAGCTCTGCAGGATTGCTTCCTGTGTGCCAGAGGAGAGGTCTGCTGCTCTGCAGGATGTTTCAAGGATGGGGGCCAACAATGCAGCACGGGAAGCAATCCGTGTGCGGGAGATCTTCACCTCCTACTTCTTCGTTGAGGGTGCTGTTCCCTGGCAACACCATAGACTACACTATGCACAACCAAAGGCTCTTTTAAGAGCCATTCACATTGCAATAAGAATATTCTTCCATTTACTTCGCTATGTCAACTGCAGTTATTCAATTCCCAGTTTCTCTCCCTTTGATTTCTACTTCTCAGGTGAGGGTGCTGTTTAGGTAAGGGTGATGTCTGTACAAAAACATAACAGGCTCTTTTAAGAGTCACCCATATTGAAACAATTTAGAACAATTAGACACCCTATAACCCACACCTACACACTTGTGTATCAATCTGATTGATGGATTGTTGTGCAGTAAGCAGGCTCAGGTGTATAACTGGCTCCTTCCACCTTCAAAGAATAGGCAAGAGGATCAACCATGGAGAATAGTAAGACACTTCATTATTTATATAACTACGCTATATTGTAGTTCGTCATGTGTCTGTGCATGTTTTTCAGTATAAAGTACTCTGCAGCCACTTAGTGTGGACACCATGTGAGGCCACACACACACATTCCTGTTGAACACTGTCTCTTTAACTACCTTATTTTCTCAATAACAGTCTCTCTCCTTCACTTCATCCCTCTCCCCCCTAAATCCTCTAGGTTATATCAGCTGTGTTGGTGAACCCCTCCCCCATCTGAACTGGCTACATAGAGGGCACAGCATGATCAGAGGTGAGAGGTCACTTGGTCAGGTCAACAGGAAGAATTATTAAAGAGATGCTTTACATTGGGACTACTACATCTCTCTGTATTTCAGAGTTGATGATCCAAGGTCAGTTTTGCATTTCACCTCCTGATGATTATGATGACTGACAGTGTTAGAATACAAAAACACAAGGCTTAATCACGCCAGCTCTCTCTCTCCATCTGTCTCTCGTCTGCAGGTATGTTTTGATGTGAGAGAGGGTGCCAACCCCCAGTCCCGTCATCGCCATCTCACCCGCAATTAAGATAGCTTTGGTCCCCTAGTTGGCCCGAAGGTTGTTAGGAGACACCGCTAGAGACACTATTATGTAATTGTGATGAACTGAGAGAATATTAGGGTAGCACTGTAATTCATTAATCATATGCTGCCTTCCCTGCTCCTCTGTCTTACCTCTCTCCCCCAACTCCTTTCTCACACCTCTCTCCCCACCCTCTCTCACACCTCTCTCCCCCACCCTCCTCACCCTCTCTCCCCCAACCTCTTCTCCCACTCCTCACACCTCTCTCCCCACCAACTCTCTCACACCTCTCTCCCCCAACTCCTCTCTCACACCTCTCTCCCCCAACTCCTCTCTCACACCCTCTCCCCCAACTGCTCTCTCACACCTCTCTCCCCCAACTCCTCTCGCACACCTCTCTCACCACCCCTCTCTCTCCCACCACACACTCTCTCACCCCTCTCCTCCCCTCTCTCCCACCCCTCTCTCTCTTTCACACCTCTCTCCCCAACTCCTCTCTCCCACCTCTCTCCCCAACTCCCTCTCCACACCTCTCTCCCCACCCCTCTCTCACACCTCTCTCCCCACCTCCTCTTTCTCACACCTCTCTCCCCCACCAACCTCTCTCCCCCAACACCTCTCTCACACACCCTCTAACTCTCCTCCACCTCTCTCTCCCCACCACTCTTCTCACCCTCTCTCTCTCACCACCTCTCTCCCACTTTCTCAAACCTCCTCCCCACACTCTCTCTCCCCACCGCCTCTTTCTCACAACCTCTCTCCCCACCGCCTCTTTCTCACACCTCTCTCCCCACCGCCTCTTTCTCACACCTCTCTCCCCACCACCTCTCTCTCAACCACCTCTCTCAACCACCTCTCTCCCCACCTCTTTCTTCCAGATGTGCATTGAAGTACAGATTTAACTTGTATTTGTAATATAATATGAATATGTACAGTGAGGGGAAAAAAGTATTTGATCCCCTGCTGATTTTGTACGTTTGCCCACTGACAAAGAAATGATCAGTCTATAATTGTAATGGTAGGTTTATTTGAACAGTGAGAGACAGAATAACAACAACAAAAATCCAGAAAAACGCATGTCAAAAATGTTATAAATTGATTTGCATTTTAATGAGGGAAATAAGTATTTGACCCCCTCTCAATCAGAAAGATTTCTGGCTCCCAGGTGTCTTTTATACAGGTAACGAGCTGAGATTAGGAGCACACTCTTAAAGGGAGTGCTCCTAATCTCAGCGTGTTACCTGTATAAAAGACACCTGTCCACAGAAGCAATCAATCAATCAGATTCCAAACTCTCCACCATGGCCAAGACCAAAGAGCTCTCCAAGGATGTCAGGGACAAGATTGTAGACCTACACAAGGCTGGAATGGGCTACAAGACCATCGCCATGCAGCTTGGTGAGAAGGTGACAACAGTTGGTGCGATTATTCGCAAATGGAAGAAACACAAAATAACTGTCAATCTCCCTCGGCCTGGGGCTCCATGCAAGATCTCACCTTGTGGAGTTGCAATGATCATGAGAACGGTGAGGAATCAGCCCAGAACTACACAGGAGGATCTTGTCAATGATCTCAAGGCAGCTGGGACCATAGTCACCAAGAAAACAATTGGTAACACACTACGCCGTGAAGGACTGAAATCCTGCAGCACCCGCAAGGTCCCCCTGCTCAAGAAAGCACATATACATGCCCGTCTGAAGTTTGCCAATGAACATCTGAATGATTCAGAGGAGAACTGGGTGAAAGTGTTGTGGTCAGATGAGACCAAAATGGAGCTCTTTGGCATCAACTCAACCTGCTGTGTTTGGAGGAGGAGGAATGCTGCCTATGACCCCAAGAACACCATCCCCACCGTCAAACATGGAGGTGGAAACATTATGCTTTGGGGGTGTTTTTCTGCTAAGGGGACAGGACAACTTCACCGCATCAAAGGGACGATGGACGGGGCCATGTACCGTCAAATCTTGGGTGAGATTAAAAATGGGTTGTGGATGGGTATTCCAGCATGACAATGACCCAAAACACACAGCCAAGGAAACAAAGGAGTGGCTCAAGAAGAAGCACATTAAAGGTCTCCAGACCTTAATCCCATAGAAAATCTGTGGAGGGAGCTGAAGGTTCGAGTTGCCAAACGTCAGCCTCGGAAACCTTAATGACTTGGAGAAGATCTGCAAAGAGGAGTGGGACAAAATCCCTCCTGAGATATGTGCAAACCTGGTGGCCAACTAGAAGAAACGTCTGACCTCTGATTGCCAACAAGGGTTTTGCCACCAAGTACTAAGTCATGTTTTGCAGAGGGGTCAAAAACGTATTTCCCTCATTAAAATGCAAATCAATTTATAACTTTTTTGACATGCGTTTTTCTGGATTTTTTTTGTTGTTATTCTGTTTCACTGTTCAAATAAACCTACCATTTAAAATTATAGACTGATCATTTCTTTGTCAGTGGGCAAACGTACAAAATTAGCAGGGGGATCAAATATTTTTTTACCCCTCACTGTATAATACATGTATTATGTATTTATTACACTTGGATAATTAACCTCTTTCAATAAAGCATTTCATATTCTCTACTGGTTGAAATTAAGTCTCTCATTTGATGAAATACTACACCTACCCTGTGTCCTCAGATCAATGCAGATGAAGGAAATTAGATAGTGAGATGAACCGGTTTTAGAGTATTTACATGATGCATAGGAAGTGTACTGTACTGTTTAAAATAATAATATTTTTCTGTATATGAATTACAAATCAGCCTCTAACTAGTTAAATCATGCGTTCTAGTCTATTGCATAGTTACAATGTATAACCATTGATGTCCCAGGACCAGGATTGGTAAACACTGTTGAAGTGTATAATTGTAATACATACGTGCAGACACAGCATCATTCAAAGACTGGATTTTGATAATCCTGGTATTGGATATGACTGAAAAATAATCTCTCACAGACATTCATACCTGAACTACACCTTTATTTGGTAGAGTACATGTTCAGTGAATATGTTCAATGTACAGGCTACAATGTGGGGATCTTATGCTTGGTAATAACTACATGTATATACAACTTGCATCCTTGGCACAATAAAGTTATATTATATTCTACTCAATCCATAGGCTTCATTAATGCCATTCAGACTGTTTTGAAGTCGATACAACCGGCTATGATAGCTGAAGTCGATACAACCGGCTATGATAGCGGAGGTTCATAGCTAGGTTCTGAACTAATATTTATGCCAAACGTTTTAGGGTCCATACACAGATCGGCTACATAGCTAGCTACACATCCATAGGCAGACAGGTATTTTTATCCTCCACTACGCAATAAGCAAGAAAATAGTTAACTAGCTACGTTATTTCAGCTGCGTAGCTTGGCAAATATCAGCAAGACAAGCTTACAAAATGTAGCATTCAATTTGCAGTCAAAATATGCATAATCGTTTGTCTCTACATTAACTAACATATTCCTCTCAACTGTACATTCTTTGCATGTTTCGTTATGACGTTATAATTACTTACATTTGCTTCCATCCTAGGGTATTTTTTGTCAGCCATCTTTGCTGAAGAAAGTGTCCAGCGTTGGGTCACGTAGCGTCAAAATCGTAATGGGAACGAAAGAAAAAAATAATCCACTTTGTCCATGACACCCAACAGAGGCTCATCATAACACGTCTCATATCGCCGCTGGTGATTTGCATAAAGTTGGGAAATGCAGTACTTTTTCACCGCCTCGCACGCCACGTTCGCGCCGCCCAACGGTCCCCCGCCCACTCCGTTTCTCACCGCTTTCCTTCCATTGAAAATGAACGGGAAGCGGTGTTTCAGTTTGGCCGGGCGGCCAGCTCTAGGAAGAGTCTTGGTGGTTCCAAACTTCTTTAATTTAAGAATGATAGAGGCCACTGTGTTCTTGGGGACCTTCAATGCTGCATTAATGTTTTGGTACCCTTCCCCAGATCTGTACCTCGACACAATCCTGTCTCAGAGGTCTACTGACAATTCCTTTGACATCATGGCTTGGTTTTTGCTCTGACATGCACTGTCAACTGTGGGACCTTATATAGACAGGTGTGTGCCTTTCCAAATCATGTCCAATCAATTGAATTTACCACAGGTGGACTCCAATCAAGTTGTAGAAACATCTCAAGGATGATAAATGGAAACAAGATGCACCTGAGCAAAATTTCTAGTCTCATAGCAAAGGGTCTGAATACTTATGTAAATAAGCTATTTCAGTTTTTTATTTTGAAAAAATGTATACATTTGCTAAAATTTCTAAAAACCTGTTTTTTGGTTTGTCATTATGGAGTAATGTGTGTAGGTTGATGAGGAAAACAATTAATTTAATCCATTTTAGAATAAGGATGTAACGTAACAAAATGTCAAGGAGTCTGAATACTTTCCAAATTTAGTCATTTAGCAGACACTCTTATCCAGAGCGACTTACAGTTAGTGAGTGCATACATTATATATATATTTTCATACTGCCCCCCCCCCCGTGGGAATCGAACCCACAACCCTGGCGTTGCAAACGCCATGCTCTACCAACATCCCCTGCCGGCCATTCCCTCCCCTACCCTGGGCGACGCTGGGCCAATTGTGCGCCGCACCATGGGTCTCCCGGTCGCGACAGAGCCTGGATTCAAACCAGGATTTCTAGTGGCACAGCTAGCACTGCGATGCAGTGCCTTAGACCACTGTGCCACTCGGGAGGTCAAATGCACTGTATATATAGTATCCTAAAGATTGATCGAATTTGTGTGTGTGTGTGTGTGTGTGTCAGGGCTGTCAGTTGATTACAAATATATATTAATACCCATCCTTTCCGGTCTGCAGTCCTTGACTTGGGCAAAATATTTTCTACTGCTTGAGTTCCTGTTCCTCTTATAAAATATTAGCTAAAAAGTACTGTGGAGCTCCTGCACCTAAATACAAACAGTACCGGCAGTCAACATGAGGATCGGCACCTATTTCAGTCCAAGTCAAGCACTGGCTATTAGCCATAGCTCCTCATATTCACTGAGGCCCACACGTTGATGTTACTTTAATAAATCAACACATGAACCCATACTGCAGTCGGTCTACAGGCCTCTTCATTCATAACTTCCTCCGACTGTACCTAGACTAGATTTTATACTAGTTCAGTTCTCCCCCTTCTGACCATTCTGAGAACTACACCACTATATCATATATTGTATAAAGTCAAATTGTATTCGGCACATGCTTCGTAGACAACAGGTGTAGACTAACAATGAAATGCTTACTTACAGGTCCTTTTCCAACAATGCAGAGTTAAAGATAAGATTTACAACAACAACAAAAACACAAAAAAATAATAGTGACGCAAGGAATAAATACACAGTGAATAACAGGGAGTACCACAACAGTCAATGTGCAGGGGTACAAGATAACTGGGGTAGGAGCAGGGACGGCCTGTTCAATAGGGCGATATGGGCGACGCACTGCCAAACGGGAAAAGGAAGGGATTTTTTTTCTAATCAATTATATCACGGCAACAGTAGTTATCAGTGTTGTAATCTAGACGTCTGATCTGCCACAGTGCCACACTGCCACTAAATGTCGAATCAGGCTAAAGTCGTGCTTCAAATGGCTCCACCCCCTTTTGGGGCGATTTCAGTCAGATTGAAAATCGCCCAGAACTTCTGTCATAGACTCCCATGTAAAATCTATTTTTTTCAAATTTCAGAGCCTTCAATACAATCTCAATGGGTGTCTGTGGGCTTGCACTTACGCGCTTTCGTCATACGTAACGTAACGTAACCATGAACGTAACTGAGAAAAGAGTGGATTGTTTGAAAGAAGTTCCTTTTTGTCGGCGAACAAATGAAGATAAATTGGCAACGAAACAATTAGGACCTCCCAGACCAAATTTAATAATTCAACAGGTTTCTACTAAAGGGGGGAAGTCCTACACCCGAGGATTTTCCAAAAATTGGTACGAACGAAAAAAGACATTGCCACTCACTCAACTGGATGACGAGGGATACAGGCTAGCTGTCCGCCGCCACAACGATGAGGTTAGTGTTGATAATCACAAGTTTACTGGATGTGGATATGGTGTAATAAAGGCAGTTTATTCAGAGGTAAATATATCTGGAATCGCGTTCACGGACCCGTTCGTCAAACTCTTAAAAATGAACTTGGGCTGGGAATTGCCAGGAACCTCACGATAAGATATATGCATCAGCATTGCGAGTCTCATGATTCTATACGTATTGCGATTCGATACTGTGATTTTATTGCGCACCATATGTCTGTTGCAGAGGGATCAGAAAGCCATGAGAACGAGTTTTGATCAGTCATGGAAATAAAAGTGCTGAAAACAAATTGGCTCCCAATGTGAAAAGATTGAGAACAAGCTATGAAGGAACAATAATGGTGTTTTGGTGCAGGTACAGCCAACTAGCGCTAAAATATTGCGATATTGTCAATACAGTATATCGTAAAGTATCACTATGTAACTCGATTTCTTTCACCCCAATCCCTCAAATTAACGGTAAATAACTGAATTGTTTGCCCCACATTTAGCTAAGATGATTAGCTAGCCAGCTAAAATGTTTTAGTTAGTTAGCAGTCGCATCTACAATAGTTTACTGTCAATAACATGTCTCCAAAAATGACGTGGTGTCTCCAATTGTGTTGACATTTTACAATTGCAATGCGCATCCATGAGTATCCACTTTCTGTAGCTCAGCTGGTAGAGCATGGTGCTTGTAACGCCAAGGTAGTGGGTTCGATCCCCGGGACCACCCATACACAAAAATGTATGCACGCATGACTGTAAGTCGCTTTGGATAAAAGCGTCTGCTAAATGGCTTATTATTATTATTATTATTATTATTATTATTATCTGAAGAGAGCCCCGAAACATTGTGTGCAGACATTTTATGCAATAAATGAAGTAGGTTCAATCTAGTAGTTCTGATCTTCTGATTGGTCCTGATGAGTTGGGCGAGGTCCCCTGCAGGCTACTGTCACTGTTGCATTGGCTCTGAGTCGGGTTCTCTGTCTTCAAATGTTCAGCCTAAGAGAGGGGATTTTTGTGTGTGTGTGTGTGTGTGTGTGTGTGTTTAACAGTGATGATGTGTGTGTGTGTGTTTAACAGTGATGATGTGTGTGTGTGTGTGTGTTTGTGTGTGTGTGTGTCCTCAGAGCAAGAACTCGTGAGTTGGAAGAACTGAGAGGCCTATGGCGTGGGTGTTGTCCTTGGCCACCTGCTGACAAGGCTGACAAGATAGGACCCTTTTGTCCATTGTTATTGGATAGGAACAGAACTTATAACCAGCTCCTGACCTAAATAGATCTTAGCACAACATTTTACTCAACATATCATATTCCATATTCACTATAACAAATATATTTACTACGACATTAGCAAGAACCGCCACATCCTCAGCCGGCTAATCCAGTGTGTGAAGTTTTGCGGAGTGTTTGAGTTAGCTTTGCGAGGCAAAGATGAGAGGTAAAGTGACTAGGCAACAGGATAGACAGACAGTAGCAGAAGCTTATGTGATGAGTGTGGAAATGTGTGTGTGTGTGTGTGTGTTGGGTGTCAGTGTAAGTATGTGTGACTGTGTTGGTAGAGTCCAGTGTGTGTGCATAGAGTCAGTACAAAGAGTTAGTGCAAATAGGGTCAATGCAGGTAGCCCGGGTAGGCATTTGATTAGATATTTAGCATTCTTGTTTAGAAGTCTTATGGCATGGGGGTAGAAGCTGTTCAGGGTCCTGTTGGTTCCAGACTTGGTGCATTGGTACCGCTTGCCGTGCGGTAGCAGAGAGAACAGACTGTGGCTTGGGTGGCTGGAGCCTTTAACATTTGTTTGGGGCCGTCTTCTGACACTGCCTGGTATAGATGTCCTGGATGGCAGGGAGCTCTGCCCCAGTGATGTACTGGGCCGTACGCACATCCTAGAAGTGTGTGTGTGTGTGTGTGTTGTAGTAGTTTTAAGTAGTGTGTAACTGTCTTCATGCAGGGCTCTCTCATCTGGTGAGAACACAGCAGGTTGTCACAGCAACCCTTGGAGAAGATGCAGTTTTAAACTGTGAGCTCATGAAACCCAAAGACGTGCTGCAAGTCACCTGGCAAAAAATGACACAAGGACAAAATGTGAACATTGGCGTTTTGGTTTCGAAGTCAACCAACTTTTTAAGGGGAAAGTGGAGTTTGAAGACGAGGGTCTGCAGAACTGCTCTATCATCATCAGAGGAGTGTCAAGAGGAGACGAGTCCTGCTACAAGTGTCTGTTTAACACCTTTCCAGATGGACCTATCAGTGGAAGAACCTGCCTCCAAGTCAATGGTAAAAATCATATTACATTGGGTTAGGGAAGGGGGGGTTAAAGGGGTACTACACTCTAAAGTCTAGTGTAAGTTTGTCGGATGTTTTCAGACCTTAAACATAGATTTCAGCTGAGATAAGTCCACATTCTAGACCATCTGTTTTGAAGATTCAGCTATTTGCCAGATTCCCAAATCAATGGAGAAGATAAGCACCATGTCATTTCCAGATCTGCTGTGCTTCTCTTTTCCATTCATTTTGGGTTCAGGCATATCATGTGGATTCATCTTAACATAAGGCTACTTTTGAGGTCTTAAACAATGTGTAATATCCCTTTAAAACAGGAACAATGTGTAATAATCCCTTTTAAAAGAAGAACAATGGCCTCCAGACATCATGGATCCATTTGACCATGTGATAAAAACATTATAGTATTTACATTCACTGTGATCTGTGTCTGTTGTTGTTCTATAGAGCTGTATGGACCCTCACTCCTCATCACACAAACCAACAACAGTCACACCACTCTGTCCTGTTCTGCTACTGGACGACCTGCTCCTATAGTGACCTGGGACGACACCGACATTCTCGAAAATTCCACAATGGCCAATGTCACCCATCCCAATGGAACTGTCACTGTCACCATAACTTTCACGCTGGCAGCATTCAGTCTAGCTGACAAAGACACCAGGATTGGCTGTATGGTGTCACTGTTCTCCGGGGGTGTCATCAAGAACATTCCAGCTAGAACTCAAGCTCCATTTGCTGGTGAGAAATGGTTCTGTACATGCCTACAGTAACAATCAACATGCTGGTGTCATTCTGAAGTACTGTTTCTGTATTTTCTGTGCTAGGTCTACCTGAGGTCACTGATGGTGACAGGATCAGTGGTAAGTCATTCATCTAATGACCACAACTAATCTCTGACACTCTTATCTGTGAATTGTACCATTCTCATCTTGTCCTCTTTGACAGGTAAGACAACAGTGATTGCTGCAGTGATGGGTTCTCTGTGTTTCATTGCTGTGTGCTGTGGAGCTGTGGCACTGTGGTGGTGCAAACTGAGAAATAAAATAAGAAGGTAAGTTTTACTGTCTAGATGACAAAGAGAAAATACTGTATTCATTTGACATTAATTGTCAAACTAACAAAAACAATCTTTAGTCCAAATCCCACAGCCCATGACAGAGAACATGAAGAACTATCAACAGTCAACCCTCAACATGATGACCCTGAAATCTAGAGGTCTGATCTAACAGTAAGACACATATTCTAATGAGTTGCATTTGTTGCTGAATTGTTGTTCTAATGTTACTCATGTCACTTATATACTCCATAAAAAACTATGTAAATTACCCTCTTTACACAGAACAATATGTTAAATACCCTCTTTATAAAGAACATTATGTCAATTACCCTCTTTATATGGATACATATGTTAATTACCCTCTTATACAGAACAATATGTTATACCATATTTATACAGAAATCTCCTGAGAGATCAGATTATGTGCAATGTAGACAGTGATCTGAAATAATTACAAAGATGTTTATTTTGATTGAATGTTAAAACATACAATCTACTTGCAGTGAAGCCGCTCAACATTTACATTACATTCAGTCATCTGACAGACTCCGATCCAGAGCGACCCACAGAAGCAACCAGGGTCAACGCCCTGCCCAAGGGCACATCGCCAGATCTCCCACAATTTCAAAACAGGGCCCGAACCAACGACCTATCAGCCACCGGCCCAAGCGTCCAACCGCCAGGCCACTAGCCCTCCAGCCCTCCAGCCCTCCACAGTACCCCAAGAGCTGCCCCTCAACCATCCGAGACCCCCCCCCCACAGAAAAACAAACAAACAATATATTTTGTGCAGATTGCTGAGGATTTAAAAAAGTTTAATCCATTTTAGGATAAGGCTGTAACAAAATGTGGAAAAAGTCAAGGGGTCTGAATACTTTCCGAAGGCTGATCTTATTTCCTTATAATCTGCTAAACCGTTACAATTATAACTGGCTATACTTATTTCACCTCTTGCCATAACTAGATACTAAATGTACCATAATTAGTCCTTGTAAAGTTACTGCCATAAGAGGTATTATGACGGTCAAGAATAGAGATTTCAAATAGGTTCTAGAAATATATATTTTTTATTCCCTTGCCTGTTTGCCTTCGAGCCAATGCCACAGATGTTAGAAAATTGAGTCAAGATATTATGTGTGTAATTGATCCAAGTAGGTTGATGTGTGTGATATTGGATGTGATTTAGTGACAGTGTGTATGATGTCTGGGTAAGAGTAAGAATATAATGTGTGATGACTAAATAAATAATAACCCAGCCAATTTGCATGGTTGAGTGTCTATGTGCGTAACATGAAGTGAGTGATTATGAAAAAGAGACCCTGCATTACCATAGAGACGGCTTCACTACAGTACACATGTATCCCCTGCAATATGTTATTATTCCCCAGCGTCTCTGTTCTGATATCTTCCCACTTCTTGTTGTAAACATAGATAAACATACAAAAGATAGAGAAACAAAAAGGATATGAAGTTATAGAAAAAATTATCGAGAATAGAGAGGAGAGAGGGAGATCAAGTGTGTCTGTGTCTATGCGTCCTTATGTGTAAGCGAGCGTGTGTTCACGTATCAACTTCATAGTGTTCAGATATTTTGACAGTCCCCATAAAAAAAAAATCCGTATCCTGACGTCCCCGTAAATTTTAGTACAGCCATGGTGTTACAGCACTGTCTCGGAAGAGCTGTCCATCTATAAAGAGTTGTCCACAATGAGAAAGGCGCGCTTACCCCTCTCTGTCTGTTTCCTCTGTACAGGATACAGCCTCTTGCGACGCTCGTTTATCTCCGGGGGAAATTGGTCCCTAAAAACTCCCTTCCCCTGCTTTTGATCAGCTCCTTTTCTTGGTAGTGTTCACATTTTGGATGTTAGGTCGGGGACCCTTGGTCTTGTCGCTCCGAGCTCCAAGTCTGTGTACTCGGTGGAAAGCCACCATGTTTACAGTCTCTAGAGGAAGTTTCAAGGCGGATTGCATGAACTCTCTGATCGCACCCCCTGGATTATTGGATGCGTCATCAGGAATCTCAGAAAATATTAGATTTTTACGCATGTTTCGGGTTTGTATGTCTAGTACCAACTCCCTCATCACACTGTTTTCCCTGAGTAGACAATCCATGTTGGAATCGAGTTACCCGGCACTTTTTTTTTTTAAACGCCCCTTTTCTAATGAAAATGAAATACCTAAAAAAGTTTAAACTGTAGCCATTTATTTCCCTTTATAGTTTATTCACCTCAGCATGACTTTCATCCACATACCCATTTCTTTCTCCAAATATTGCTTTTTTTGTGTCAGCAATTAGACATTTTTCTTAGTGGGGGGCTAGTTACCCCCTTGTACCCTAATATTACAGCCTACAGAATGTGGTCATAATGTACTTTGTGGTGCGCGTGTGCTGTTGTTTTCTTCTTTCTTCACTTTTAAAAAATCAAACGCTGTAACAATGTTGTGATGTATGGAACTGTCAGATATCTGATGCTGGCTAAGCTTAAAAAATTTAAAGTCTTAGATTCTTCTGCCGCTCGAGACCAGCCAATGTTGCAAACAATTGCCACTAGGGTTCGCCTGAATATCACACACGACTGTACGCTATATTGGTTCACCAGACACTTGACAGTCTCCGTTCTCTGACGCCACTCATGTAGAGGCAGAACGCATTACACCCGGTCTGTTCATCTTTAAGACTTTTGAAACATGGATTTGATAATCAGTGTAGAAGATTGTGTTATTGCAGAGGACGGAATTCAATGATTCTCATTATCACTAACTCCATGCACTGCTCAACGGGTAAGTCGTTTTTATACCAGTATTAATTTGTTATAGGGCCCAGTTAAAATAAAACATTGTGTTATGTTTAATATTTAATATGCATATAAATGCGTTCATAATAACGTTGTCTATATTGCATTATCTTCTAAAGGTGGAAGAAGCCTATAGGGTTAGTCTATACATTATGTCAGTGGTGTAAAGTAGCCAACTTAAGTAAAAATACTTTAAAGTACTACTTAAGTCGTTTCTTTTGGGTATCTTTACTTTACTATTTATATTTTTGATTACTTTTACTCCACTACATTCCTAAAAATATGTACTTTTTACTCCCATACATTTACCCTGACATCAAAAAGTACTGCTGAGGCAGGACAGAATAATGGTCCAATTCAGGCACCTATCATTATAACGCGTTGTCATCCCTACTGCCTCGGATCTGGCGGACTCACTAAACACAAATACTGCGTTTGTCAATTATGTCTTAGTGTTGGAGTGTGACCCTGTCTGTCCGTAAAAAAATGAAAAAATAATTCGTGCCTTCTGGTTTGCTGAATATAAGGAATTTGATGTATAGCATTTACTTTTACTCAAGTATGACACCACTGTACTTAAGTACATTTAAAACCAGATACTTTTACTCAAGTAGTATTTTACTTGGCAACTGTTTATTAAGGTATCTTTACGTTTACTCAAGTAAGATCATTTAGTACTTTTTCCACCACGGCATTACGTTTATAATATTGTTATAACAATCAATGTTTATATCATGTTTATATATTTTTGTATCCCAGTGCAGTTTTTTTTTTAAATCAAGGATTATGACAAATATAGCATCATATAGACGTTGTATGAAATTGAAATTGTATTTTTGTGCAATTGCCTTTTTTTGACCAGGACCTCATTCAACTTATGTGGATCACCTTTTAGCCTACATATTGCTAGTAGGATTATCTCAACCATTTATAGAATTAATATTGTCAATGTACCACATTATATGTTCAATAGACCCCCCCCCCCCCCCCCACCCCTTCTTCTTCCCTTCCAAAACAAAAAAGAACATGTCCTATCATAATCAAATGGCCTAATCATGGTATTGCATGGTAGTGCATCCGTCAACAGAACAATTACAGAAAACCCATAGGTTGGTACATCAACTGAACAAGCCTTAACAGGCTCCGTACTCCTCAAATGCCTACACTGAATCAAGCTAGGTGGTCTCATCACATAGAATGTCTGGACTCCCCAGTCTTTGATTGGACATTAGGGAGTCCACACATCTTGTTACTGAGAACTAAACAAACAGCTGTTGAAAATGTTACCGCTCTGCACACACCGGCACACTGTTTGGCCCTTGAGGACCAGTGTACTCTGCTTTTCATATGTTCCTTTCTTCTGTGAAAGGCCAGGTTTTCCTTTACTCTGTGGCAATGAGGTTGACTTTGAAGTTTATTGGCTATGCCATACACCCTTTGATATGGAATCAGTCAAACATGGCCCAGTAATAATCTGTGCTATGATCCTCAGTGAAACCCAAGTCAGTTTGATAGAGTGGAGTTTCTGTGTCATGTTTTTGAAAGAGATGCATGAGGGGCATGAATTCTGCTACGGGACTGTGTCCTCTTGAAATACTTGTTGCTATGTTTACATTCACTCCATATACTATGTTTTATTTACGATAAGATGTCAGAACTACTTTTTTAATGTGTATAGTGGAAAAAGAGAGCAGCTGTTTTAAACTCTGCCCAACAGGGGCAGACGGCATGTTTTTTCCAGATGGTTTACATCGTAAAAGACCCAATGAACTGCCTATAAAAGCCTGGTGGGTTAGCTCTGGTCTGGTCGTGTAGCTTATTTCAAGTGGAGGTTGCCTCTTAAACTGATCTGAGGTCAGTTTTGCTATGTACCTCCACTAGAGAAGGGATAATCATTGTGGTTGTGTAAACTGATCCCAAATCAGCTCTTAGGGACACCCTCTGCCTGGAGGGCTGTTTCTCCTTGCTTTGTCACAACCTCCCACTGGCTCTCTTAAACAAGTGGATTTCCCAGCAACGCAGACACAGGAGCTTAACCACAAGTGTTTTTTATAGCCACTGAACCACGCTTGGCTTGGCTGGCATACCTCTAAGCCCATGATCAGACACAGTGCGTACAGTAGCCCTGAATCCTATCGGCTGCTGTACGGTGCTCTTTCATGGCTAGTACTGGCTGTTATGGTGGCTCGTCTGTCTTTTATCATAGGCTCATCTTGCGTCGTTCACAGAGTTTTGCTTCTGGTTTGATTGCACAAACGTGTTTTTTTTTTAGACCGGGGGCTGGTGCATTGTAGACATCAAAGCAGCGCAGCAAGCCTTCTGTTTGCCAGGTGATTAAGACCTATAATCTGACAGAGCTGATGAATATGCTGTTGTTGTTCTGTTGAGTCAATCCCCATGGCGATAGCCCCTCAGACCAACAACACTGTTTGTGTCACCTAGCTTGATAGACCTGGTGCGGTGCAGTGCAATGCCACTGCAAATAAGCTCCAATTGATAACTGTGCCATTATCCAGTTTTGTTTTCATCCACTAAGCAGTGCTATAATGCTATACAGTACATCAAAGTTTATAATGCAACGTTATAGGTTATAATGCTCTGTTATAATGGGTTATAAGGCTGAATAGAGGGTTACAATGTTGAGAGAGTTGTGTCCTCCTCTGGCTCCTGGATCCAGCTACAGGGGTCTGTCTTCCAGTAAGATGAGGTTACTACATCACTGACCGACAACACGTCTCACACACTGGATCACAGGTGGGGTAAGTAAATATCTGATTTAACTTTATATGCTGAAGTTCATCGTGACTGTTGGGTGTGGCTGTCCCATGGTGCTATTTTGAACAGTATTCATGTTTTCTATCAGTAACCTGGATGCAACACCCAAAGTGAGACTTGGTGCCACTCCTGCAGACCAAGATGTGTGGATCTGCCCTGTCTCAGTGGCGGACGCTGTGTCTGCAGTTATTGGGGATGGTGGTGTTCAGGATACAAGGTAGCCAACACTCAACATACTTCACTACTTTACAGTAGGTTTAGGTGCCATGTTGAATCAAAAGTAGTGGATATTTCCAGTAGAAAATGCTATTCTTCCCTTGCAGTGAGAAAGCATGTTTGACTTAGTATGTGGTCGACCACCTTAAAATTGTTGAATTGTATTGAGTTTCAGTGCTTCTCATTGGTTGACTTCCTGTCATGTGTCAGGTGAGGTCATCACCCCCTCCAGCATGACCGCTGTGGCAGGCCTCCCCTTCACGCTGGGCTGTAACGTCACCATAGCAACTGGCGACACGGTCAAGCAGGTCCGCTGGCTGAACAAACACAACCAGGTTCTCCTGGCGTACGAGCCGGGCGAGTCGGTCAGAACCACCTCCTCCCACGACGGCGTGGAGCTAACCTCATCATCGCACCGCGACGTCAGCGCCATCACCATCAAGAGGGCGGGGCCTAACGACGAGGGCTGCTACCGATGCATCTTTGACATCTACCCCAGCGGAGCGCAGGAGGGAAAGACCTGCCTCAGTATTGAAGGTGAGTTTGGCCTTAGACTAAACAAGTTGGTTTGGTAAACCACGCTCATGTGGTTGCCTGAGACCTGAAGACTTGCATTAGCGGCCAGAGGTAATGCATAAGCTTTAGCACAGCATGCTAACACTGTCTTAGGGACCCAGATTTGAACCCCGGTTAGTCACACTAGCAAGGACTTACAGATTCCAGGACTATGGCATGCAAAGGCTTCCTTCATTTCTCCTCCTCAAATACTCTCTCTCCAGCACCAGGTTGCCTTCTTCACAGGGTTGACACATTCCCAATGTTTTAATTTTTCTACATTCGAAAACAAAGCCTCCTGTGAATTTGTTTATTTTTACAAGGCTTGTAGTTCCCATGTTTTTCTCTGGTGATTGTGTAAGGTCATGAAAAGTCAGGATGTTCACTTGGCCCTGCCGTCCCAGAATGCATCAGTTGTGGATAATCACAAACAGGAACTGGGTTGAGGTCAGCCACACTCAACAGACCAGGACCCGATACTTCCTGTAACTATAAAGACCACAACAGGAGGACCCTTCTAACCCTCTGTCGTATTACTACCCCAACAGATACACTATATATACAAAACTATGTGGACACCCCTTCAAATTGGTGGATTTGGCTATTTCAGCCACACCCATATAAAATTGAGCACACAGCCACAGCCCAACATTGGCAGTAGAATGGCCTTACTGAAGAGCTCAGTGACTTTCAACGTGGCACCGTCATAGGATGCCACCTTTCCAACAAGTCAATTCGTCAAATTTCTGCCCTGCTAGAGCTGCCCCGGTCAACTGTAAGTGCTGTTATTGTGAAGTGGAAACGTCTAGGAGCAACAACGGCTCAGCCGCGAAGTGGTAGGCCACACAAGCTCACAGAACGGGACCGCCAAGTGCTGAAGCGCGTAGCGCGCAAAAGTCGTCTGTCCTCGGTTGCAACACTCACTACTGAGTTCTAACCTGCCTCTGGAAGCAACGTCAGCACAATAACTTTTGTCGGGAGCTTCATGAAATGGGTTTCCATGGCCGAGCTGCCGCACACAAGCCTAAGATCACCATGCGCAATGCCAAGCGTCGGCTGGAGTGGTGTAAAGCTCGCCGCCATTGGACTCTGGAGCAGTGGAAACGCGTGGTGGAGTGGTGAATCACGCTTCACCATCTGTATTTTACAATAGTTATCTTTTGTTTGTTTTTAATCCCATCCTTCAGCTACCCTCAACCTCTCCCATATATCTCTGACCATCCAGTGAAGGGATAGCTTAACGCTACTGCATACAATTACATTCTATATGATTCTGTGCTTCCAACTTCCTGTTTCAGCATGCAAATGCCCTCGTGCACAAAGCGAGGTCCATACAGAAATGGTTTGTCGAGATCGGTGTGGAAGAACTTGACTTGCCTGCACAGAGCCCTGACCTCAACCCCATTGAACACCTTTGGGATGAATTGGAACGCCGACTGCGAGCCAGGCCTAATCGCCCAACATCAGTGTCTGACCTCACTAATGCTCTTGTGGCTGAATTGGAAGCAAGTCCCCGCAGCAATGTTCCAACATCTAATGGAAAGCCTTCCCAGAAGAGTGGAGGCTGTTATAGCAGCAAAGGGTGGACCAACACCATATTAATTCCCATGATTTTTGAATGAGATGTTCGACGAGCAGGTGTCCACATACCTTTGGTCGTGTAGTGTTCGTAAGGTTTTATATGGAGCCAAATTATTTACATATTTAAATGCCTTGCTGAAATGTAAGCCTCACTTTGACTCTCTAGGACCAAGAAAGCCTACTACCTCTGTCATATCTCTCCAACCCACCACTATGAATGTGATCCTCCCATTCCAATGCTCACCTATTGATACCTTCCTCTGTCTCCCTGTGTCTGGCCCAGTCAAAGTGGGCAACGAGGGTGATAAAACAGCCGTCAGCGGGAAGCTGGCCACCATGTCCTGCTGGTATGGCCTCCCAGACAGGGTACGCCAGGTCCTGTGGAGGAAGACTGCAGAGCAGGGTGACACGACCAAGGTGGCCTCCTTCGCCAAGCGAGGCCAACCCAGCATTGAGGAACCTTATCGGGGACGCACGACCCTGAGCCCCTCCCTGGGAGACACCCAGCTGTCCATCCGGCCGGTGAGGACGGAGGACGAGGGCTGCTACACCTGTGAGTTCCACACCTACCCAGAAGGCACCAGGAGCGCCACGGCCTGCCTCTTTGTATATGGTGTGTATGGATGGGGGTTATTAGGGGTCATTTGGAAGGTTATATTGTTGAAATTAACTTATATCTCAGGCAGTATATCTGCTGAGGCTATTATTGTGAGGAAAGTTTTAATTGATTATGGTTTTTGCTGGAATTTCCTGCTCCCAATCTTCACTGATAAAGATTGATAAAGATGCGTCTCAAAACCAGTAGCAGTGATCTACTGCCCATCCATTTTAATATACAGTGCATTCGGAAAGTATTCAGACTACTTGACTTTTTCCACATTTTGTTACGTTACAGCCTTGTTCTAAAATGGATTGAATAAAAAAAATCCTCATCAATCTACGCACAATACCCCATAATGACAAAGTGAAAACAGGTTTTTAGAATTTAAAACCGGAAATATCACATTTACGTAAGTATTCAGACCCTTTGCTGTGAGACTTGAAATTGAGCTCAGGTGCATCCTGTTTCCATTGATCATCCTTATTATGTAAATGTAGTATCCGTTTTTTATTTTGAATACATTTGCAAAAATATCTAAACCTGTTTTTGCTTTGTCATTATGGGGTATTGTGTGTAGATTGATGAGGATTATTATTTTTTTGGATCCATAGAATAAGGCTGTAAATTAACAAAATGTGGAAAAAGTCAAGGGGTCTGAATACTTTCCGAATGCACTGTATGTTATATTTAGTTAGTTGGATAACGTAGCCATGTGCCCCAGGGTAGTCAGTTGTTGTGCTCATTGAAGGCCAACCCCGCCCCCTGAGACTGGAGGGGAGGATGTGTGTTTATGTCTATACACTTCAGGTCATTAAAGGGCCACGTGTAATCACACTGTAATCACACTGTAAATATCAGACGATTTCCCGGATGATGTTGTCATAGTAGACATACTACTGTAAGAGCAGGAATAGTAGATAGGAAGGAACTCATATAATAAGAGGATACACTTCTGTCTGTCTGTGTGTGTTTCCCAGATATAGTACAGGAAAGGGAAGAGCTTAATGTAGCTGGTGGGAGGAGCCAGAGTGGGTCACAATGCTCTGTGGAGACACTCTACTGTACAGTTATTAAACCCAGGGCCCTTTAGGGGCGGAAGGCTACTGCACAACCCTGTCCCTGGAGAGATACCATCCTGCAGGTTTTCACTCAAACCCTGTCCCTGGAGAGATACCATCCTGCAGGTTTTCACTCAAACCCTGTCCCTGGAGAGATACCATCCTGCAGGTTTTCACTCAAACCCTGTCCCTGGAGAGATACCATCCTGCAGGTTTTCACTCAAACCCTGTCCCTGGAGAGATACCATCCTGCAGGTTTTCACTCAAACCCTGTCCCTGGAGAGATACCATCCTGCAGGTTTTCACTCCAACCCTGTTCCTGGAGAGCTACCCTCCTGTAGGTTTTCAAAGTTATGGAATGGAAGTTATGGAATTTGACTTTGACAGAATGCCTCTTAGATGCTGTGTGGCTGCCTATGGACTGAGGGAAGGGTGATGATTCTGGAGACAGGAAAGAGGTGATTAATTTGGGCTGAGGCCCCTGGGATGACTGGGCCATTGTTTTCCCTGGACACAGGCCCTCTGTGTGTGTGTGTGTGTGTGTGTGTGTGTGTGTGTGTGTGAGTGGTGTGTGCCTTTCTCAGTGTGTGTGTTCTGATCAGTATGTCTCTGTGTGAGCCCCTATGCTCCAGACCAGCAGCAGTAAACCCAGGCACCGATACCCATCACACTACATAGAAGTGATTCTTCCTCCAATCCTCTGCCTTGTTGTCTGTCGTTCCGTCCTGTTTCCATGTTGTGCAGTCTGATATAGTGATGTGTCATTGTGTCAGATGGAGACTGGAGGGTTGGAGGCCATGCCCTGTTTCCATGTTGTGCCGTCTGATATAGCGAGGTGTCATTGTGTCAGATGGAAAGTTGGGAAACACTGTTGGGGGTACTGGAGGACTAGAGTTGAGAACCACTGTTGGGGGTACTGGAGGACTAGAGTTGAGAACCACTGTTGGGGGTACTGGAGGACTAGAGTTGAGAACCACTGTTGGGGGTACTGGAGGACTAGAGTTGAGAACCACTGTTGGGGGTACTGGAGGACTAGAGTTGAGAACCACTGTTGGGGGTACTGGAGGGCTAGAGTTGAGAACCACTGTTGGGGGTACTGGAGGACTAGAGTTGAGAAACACTGTTGGGGGTACTGGAGGACTAGAGTTGAGAACCACTGCCTTACACTGTATATGCTGTCATTCACCATAAACATGATCTCTCATCCATTGTGTGTGATGTCTCCCTCAGTGCTGCCCAACCCGGAGATCACCTCCATGACCTCCAACGGTGTCATCGAAGCCAACTGCACGGCCGCAGCCCGTCCTGCAGCCCAGATGGTATGGAATGTGGAGGGGGACAACCGGACGCTGGGGCCATCCGTGTCCTCCTCCTACGACCAGGGGGACGGCACCACACTGGTCACCAGCACCCTCCTCCTCCAGGAAGGCCTGCTCCACGACCTATCCGTCAAATGCATGGTGCACCACCGAGGCCTGGACTCGCCCATGTCCGTCAACCTCAATGGTGAGCAGCTCAGAGAATCACATTGGGTTAATAAAGATTTACATATTATCAGCAAATCATTAACACATGTCTTATAAATGATTTAATAATGGTATATTAATGATGCTTTTTAAATAAAGTGTTACACAGATTTGTTGTGCTTATGAATACAAGTCTGCTTAACAGCCCTTGCAATGTGACAGTGCTTGGTTCAAATAGTATTTGTTTTATTTCAAATACCATACATGGAGTGCGATGGGCAGGGTTTGCACTTTTAGGACTATTGTATTGGGTCCATTCCACCAGGCACGGTCAATCAAGCCCAGGACCTGGGTCCACTATTTGAACCCAGGTCTGCATTGTGGTTCAACATGTGTAGAGTTGTGTGTTGAAATCCTGTATTGTAACACTGTCCTGATTTTAGTTTTTTGATTGTTTCCAGTTGCTCTCAGAGGGGGAGTGATTGTTAGGAAAGCTTCAGTTGATATTCTAGTGAGGTGCAATTTTGGCTCATTTGATGTACCATTAAGTGCTACAGTTTCCAGGAAGTGGAAAACCAAAAAAGCATCAGGCCTTTTCCACAGTATGTCTATCTCTCTTGTTTTGAAGCTCATATCATGAGTTATGGTCGAAATAAGGCGTAGCTTAATGTCCTTGAAGACAATAATGTGGTGCTGTGTGGCTCAGTTGGTCATGGCGCTAGCAACGCCAGGGTCGTGGCTTCGATTCCCGGGAGGTCAGATTTGTTTACCAAAATATATACACTCACTGTACTGTAAGCCATTCTGGATAAAAGCGCTTGCTAAATGGTGTGTTATCATTATAACATCTGATGGCTTGTCATATGTCTGTTGGTAAACGTGTGTGTGTGTGTTGCAGTTGGGCCTGACCTCGCTACTCTCATCTCAGTATCCTGTGTGGCAGCCCTGCTCCTGTGCTGCCTGTGTGTGTGCCTCTGCAAGTGCTTCCTGTGCCGAGACGGTGAGTAGCCAATCAGCTTCTGATCCATTTCCTGGTCGAAGAAGTGACACTCCATGGGGTTATTTAGTGGGGTGCAACATTCTCACCTGAACATGTAACCAATAGAGTGGACTCGATTCTCTCGTTCAGAATAGAGGACCCTGTCCATTCAATATACAGTACATTGTAGTTCTATCTGCAATGTTTCAAATGTTGTGTCCTACTCAATACATTCCCCAAGTGTTTTGTAAAGAGTCACAAAAAGGACATTGCTGCTACTTTTGTGTAGTCTCCAACACCATGGATGTGTTGTTGCCATGGTGATGCTAATAATACCAGTGTCCTTCAGAGTCCTGGGAACAAGCCTCTTCAGAGCTGACACAGCAGACACAATGTGACCGGGTTATGTTAGCCAAGTTATGAGTGCTTCTCATAACCCTAGTCATCTGTCTCCTACTGTGGTTGTTTCATGTGTTCTTGATGAAGGGGAGGCTTTTTTTAGCATCGGAATGTGATGTCACATTCCCTGAGATCTACGGTCTCTAAAAGCCAACTGTCAATCTCAGAGTGAAAAGTTAGCGTCTTGCTCCAGGAGTTTGCATGGTTGGAGCATGTCGTATAAACACAATGTAGAAGGCAGCTCTAACGTTTCATTTATTGTGACTCCATCTTGATTGCAACATCCACTGGTGAGAATGGGAGGGGAGGTTATGGGTCAATCACTTGAACTGTATGGGGAAAAAACTGAACTGTATGGGAAACTTAATTTAACAAATTTCCCCTCTGGGATTAATAAAGTATTATATTTTATCTCAACTATGAGTTCTATGGGGTCAAGGCCTCGTCATCATATCCCTAGGTGATTTTAGTGGACTCTCAGGATCCCCTCTAGGACTTAGTAGAGAGTAGTAATGACAGTTGATAAAACTGTTTTATCTCTATGGTAACAAGTATCTAAAACTGCCACTATCAGTGTTGTTAAAGAACACTCAGTAACAGTTGGCACAAAGCTTGATACAAAAACACAACAGTATGACCTTCAAACTTTACACTAATGGAAAGTTACCAAAGTTACCATTCCCCTAAATCACAAAACCAATGTCACAAAGGTAAGGAAACATGACTCAAAAGGATAACTCTTTGAGAGTGATGACATATTTTAACATGGAGGTGGGAGGTCCACAGGAAAGTGAAAGGGGACACGCCAGTCCTGTGTCATCGTCGCTCCATTGACCCTTGACCTCTAACACTTTTTCCCATGACCTCTTCAGGGTGGGGTGGTCTGGTGCCAGCAGTGCCAATGGCAATAATAATAGGACTTCCCAGTCCCCTGGTAGATACAGGAAATAAAATCAATCACGATACCGACAACAGTTGCCATCAAAGTTCGCTTTTTGGTCTGCCAAAGGAGAGAGATTTCAGGAATTGCCCGTTTTTTGTTCTGTTATTTTCAATTGTGAAATCCTGGGTGGGCAGTTTCTGGTAGCACTAGTTTCCATTGGTATTTACCTGGCATTAAAGAGGAAATTGTATGAGTACTTTCTGGTAGTTCCTTCAAGGAATTCAACGCAACAGTATTACTCAGTTTCCTATTGAGAAATCCTCGTGCCATTTTAGCTTGTTAACGTCTCAACATGTTCAAGATCACTAATGATAGTAATTTAACCAATGGGAGGGAAATGGTTCTATGGTTACTGTGGTTACTGTTGTCTATGATAAGCAGCGGTGGGAGGGGTGAGAGGTGTGTCAACTTATTCTGAGAGAGGTGTAGTCTGCAAAACACTGCTGCTGAGTCTGGCACTGAGGTGTCAAGATAAGCCAGGTAGGGTTGTGGAGGAATTAGAATGACAGTCCATGGGTGTTGGCTCTGTTGGCTCATGGCTAAACCTTAGAAGTGGTGTAGTATTTTGCAATATGGACAGTTTGATTGATTTCTCAATTCTTACAGATAGGGCAAGACATTTTTAAAGTTGATCGGATTTTGCACTCTTGTAAAGTTAAAGAGACATTGAACGAACCGTCCATGGTTTGTTTGCGTACTGCGTAGGTTTAGTCATTTTTTTGTTTCCTTAGCTGATGAAAGTGTCCGACTTGATTCATAGGTCCTGACCCACTGAGCTTTCATCACAATGTTGCTTTTCCTCGTTGCTGTTTTCTTACGCGATAAGAAAGGCTGGAACAGATGAGGAAGACCTCTGCCATGTCGGTAGATGTGGTGAGGACACAGATTCACTGGCACTCATCTCCTCCAAACTGGTAAACACTCTTTCCTGTAGAGTTACTTTTCTCAGACGGGCAGCAAAGGGTCCAAAAGCAACATCCGGGAGGGCAGATACAGACATGTCCTTGTTGGTTCACCCCCTGAATCATGATGTGGATACAAGACCACGGATGTGTCCCAAATGGCACCCTATTCCCTATGGGCTCTGGTCAAAAGTAGTGCACCACATAGGGAAAGGGGTGCCATTTGGGACGCAATATAAGTGTGTGTCTGGGTGCTTCTCACATCCTATAAATTGAATGATAAACTCAGCTTGAATTGCATTCAGGATATTAAAGCACCACTTAGGGGAATTGATATATATTGTGCCAGGATCGTCCTCTGGTCAAGCGAGAGCTACTTCCGCAATTCCCTGTGAGGTAATCATTTACTTTGCACAGCTGTTTCTCATAAAGTCATTATAAGAAATATTCAGATTGGTAAATAGAATATGTGTGAGGAATGTAACTCGGTAACTCACTATGACGTAACGTGTACAGAACTTAGGGATGACATACTGTCCTTATGGCATCCCAGCCAAATAAACATCATTGAGGTAATTTGGTTATTTTTACTCATTTAGTTTGCTTGAAGTGTTGTCTATGGTTCGTGCTCCTCTCCTCCCCCCCAGAATAACAGTGATTGTGCTGGCTGTCCAGTGCTCGTTTCTCAGTAGAAAGAACCTTCTCTAATCCGGTACTTGGAGCCAGATTCACACGAGAGGCCAGGAGTAGGGAGGAGAAAGGACCCAAACTCTGACAAACTGCCCAGTGGATAACAACGCCTCTCTCTTTCTCAAACTGTTCCTGCCGCATGCTAGCCCGGCCCTCACGCATTGCAGTGCCCTCAATGACATTGTGCAGAGTGCCGTTACTAATCACTTTGTTGGGTCGAAAGACGGTTTTGATTATGACGTTGCTGTGAGGTTGTTGTATCAAGAGAGGCACCTGCGTCTCTGATTTGATATCAGATGTATCTCCCACTGTGTTGTATTACAGGTCAAACAACTGTATATGTCAGCAGCTGAAGTGACATCAACACGTGCGATGGAATGAGAGATGGCTTCTCTAATTGATTTCATATCATTTCATAATTGACGATAACCTTTGTCCCTTTTGAAAATATGATATTTGTGCGTCAATCTTTCTGACTCATCATTCACGATTCATTCAGGATTATCCGTAATCATGGTAGCGTCCACATTAATGTAGAAGTGTTTAGAAACAGATTCTATTCTTATTTACAATAAAAGTGATTCCAAAATTACACAATACATTATTTACCATTCATTTCTATTGGGCACAAAATTATCTGAAACACAACCAAAACAAACAGCAAATGCATCCATGTCACGCCTACTCCTGCTCCCGCTCCGGCGCTCGACGTCACCAGTCTACTAACCACCGGTCCTGACAATCATCATTACACACACCTGCTCCCCATCATTACACACACCTGGACCTCATCATTACACACACCTGCTCCCCATCATTACACACACCTGGACCTCATCATTACACACACCTGCTCCCCATCATTACACACACCTGGACCTCATCATCACCTTGATTACGCTCCCTTTATTTAACCCTCAGTAGCCTCAGTCTTCAGGCGGTATTGGTTTGGTCTCGTTCAGTCTGCTTCTCCTGTTTTGTTTATCTTCATGATTCTCATTATTAAACTCACCTTCTGCACCTGCTTCCTGACTCCCAGCAAATACGTCACAAAATACTGCCTCTTCAAAACAGGAGAACAAAACCAATACTGCCTGAAGACTGAGGCTACTGAGGGCTAAATAATACTGCCTGAAGACTGAGGCTACTGAGGGCTAAATAATACTGCCTGAAGACTGAGGCTACTGAGGGCTAAATAATACCGCCTGAAGACTGAGGCTACTGAGGGCTAAATAAAGGGAGCGTAATCAAGGCGATGATGAGGTCCAGGTGTGTGTAATGATGGGGAGCAGGTGTGCGTAATGATGATTGTCAGGACCGGTGGTTAGTAGACCGGTGATGTCGAGTGCCGGAGCGGGGGAATCACAAATTTGATGTAATGATTGTGTGCTAGGCATATGGGACCAAATACTAAACTTTTGACTACTTTAAGACACATACAAGTGAATTCATCCCAATACTTTTGGTCCCCTAAAATGGGGGGGACTATGTACAAAAAGTGCTGTAATTTCTAAATGGTTCAAACTATATAGATAAAAAACACCGTAAAATGAAAGCTGACAGTCTGCACTTTAACCTCTTAGGCATTATATGTTTGTGAGATGGGCCTCACTTGATAGAGATGTAGCTATTCTGGATGGTGGAGTAGATTATTGACATGCGTGGGGAGAGACTGGGACCAGTGCGGAACCACAAGTGGGTTTCTGTGGTTCTACTGTGGTTCTACTATATCAATGGGCCAAAGTTGTTTCTGTCTGCCTCAATGACAGCTGGGAAATAGAACGCAACCCATAGTCTTGTGGCACGCAGGAGACCCGGTTGGTTGTCAGACATACTGTTAAAAAGCTTTGTGTGTATCTTTTGGGAAAATGAGCTTCAGCCAGTCATGCAGAAAGTCCAGATAAGAACTTCTGTTATTTGATGAAAGGGAGGTTTACACAGGGCACTTTTAATCTGCAACACCAGGGAGTAACCATATCCTGTCCCGGCACACAAACACACTCAACCGACCTTACCTGGCCATGAGTGCAGCACTGTCGGCAAAACTCTGATTGGTTGTGAAATAGGGAAGAGAGCTACAGGAACAGTCTACGAGAAGAAGGGAAATAATAGTTTTAGTTTTATCACCTTCACATTATCTTGACCGTTAAGCATGGTCATCTATCACCAATCTGGCAACCTGGTTAGAGATCCTCTGATTGGATGGTTAGGAGACACCTGCTGGTGGTTGCCAGTATATGTTGATTTACTTTTCAAGGCAAAGAAAGTAAAAAACAAAAACAGTTGATGCCTATTTTGCTGGAAACCCACCAGTGACTATCCCCCACACTCACAAACGTACACTACTATGGAATTTCAGCCATGCTTTACTTCTAAGTGTGCATATGGTCTTTCAGAGCTGGCTGTGTGTTTGGTGGTTTTCTCTGTGTTCCTGGAAACGGGTGGAATGCGTGTACTGTAGACACCCTCTATAACACAGGAGGTTGGTGGCACCTTAATTGGGGAGGACAGGCTCATGGTAATGGCTGGAGTGGAGTCAGTGGAATGGTATCTAACACATGGTTTCTAGGTGTTTGATGCCATTCCATTTGCGCCGTTCCGGACATTATTAGGAGCCGTTCTCCCCTATAATGTGTCTGGACGAGTGTCACGCTTGACCAGAATGTTATGATACTTTTGGCAGGGAACATTGCATGATTTAATCACTTCCAGGAAGAATAATAAGACAAGGTTTGGTCCTGCTCCTTAAGCAAACCAGAGGAAGTCTGTGTGATTGTAAAGCAATTCCGATTATTCTTTCAAAGACAAAGGTGTCAATATCCCACCCTGCAGCAGACTGTGATCTGTCTCCACATGATGCTGACTGCCTGTTTCTGTGATGAGGACATTTTAGGGCAGGGTTCCACAACTGGCGGCACGCAGCTGAATCTAGTTGATGATCCCTGTTTTAGGGGGTCAGGAAAATGGTGTGACTGACTGGCAGGGGACTGGGGACTGTTGTTTTGAGTTGAAAGTGTTGAGTAGATGATAGTAGAACTAGCACAATAATACCTCATTTTTGGATGTGACAATGAATTATCTCTCTCTCTCTCTCTCTCTCTCTCTCTCTCTCTCTCTCTCTCTCTCTCTCTCTCTCTCTCTCTCTCTCTCTCTCTCTCTCTCTCTCTCTCTCACCCTGCAGATTGAGATTTGACCTGGAATGGTGGAAGACGGAGTGTTTTGATGAGAAGCCAGAGTTCTGATCATCCAGCTAGACCTATAGGCTCCTCAGCACCATACGCTCCATGTCTGTTAGAAGGAACAGCTCACTACAGTATTACACATCATCAACAACTGTTTCTCCAGGCCTCAATGGCTGAACTGGATTAAACCTTCATCCCACCAGTGACGAAAACATAAACAAGACTAAAGCCATGTTTCTATTAACATTAGATAAAGACACTTATCAAAATGTGGCTTTGAAGTTTAGTCTGTCGAGGCTGGTCCCGGATCTGTTTGTAAGTCCTATAGTCATTGTCACGCCAATGGCTCAACAGATCTGGGATCAGGCTACAAATCGGTCCACTCGATTAAGAAAAAAGTCTAGGACAAAGGCCCTTATAACAAAGTGCTGTAAAAGTAGGAGGTTTTTAAATGATACATTCACAAAAACGTTCTAAGTACACACTATGTAATGTATTTCAACAGTTACAGTATGTTTAAGGACCAGGCTGCTTTTTTGTGTAGGAGTTCTCCTGTTATTTGTTTTTTTGCTGCTGTATGTGGTGTGTGTGTGTGTGTGTGTGTGTGTGTGTGTTACAGATATCTTTAGTTTTTTAATACTGGAGTTCCAGTATTAAAATGCAATTGCAATTTGCCATGTATTTTACAGCTAGCTATATGACATAATTTAGAATACAAACAATATCATGTATATTTCTCATGCTCAATATTTAACTTACATATTTACAACAGCGTTTTACAAAATGTCTGTCTCGGTGTGTGCCTTTCCTATTGAAGCATATTCCTACCATCTGCCCATTTGACTTGAAAATGGCTTCCATACTTTTCAACCTGTTTAAACCTCACAACAAATGTATACAAATTAATTACTACTGTTTATTAGCAATTCCCTTTCATAACGTCAGTATTACAAACCCTATAGTTTAACATCACACTAAATCAGCATACTCAAAATGGTCTAGACAACGATGGAAGGTGACAGGATTGTGTCAATGAAATATGCTTATGACTTTGGATGTCAGGTTCTGTATATCTGAATAGCTGTTTAGGCTACAGTCCCTTACGACACAGTGTATTCCTGTTAGAGTGTCAGAAATAGCACTAGTAGCAAACTCAGCTGTGTATTTCTAAATGATGCCTGAGGATTACTGGTGAATAGATCTACAGTGGCTTCAGAAAGTATTCACCCTTTGACTTTTTCCACATTGTTGTGTTACAGTCTGAATTTAAAATGGATGAAATTGACCTACACACAATACCCCATAATGTCAAAGTGGAATTATGTTTTTAGAAATGTGTACAAAGTAATTATAAATGAAAAGCTGTCTTGAGTCAATAAGTATTCAACCCCTTTGTTATGGCAAGCCTAAATAAGTTCAGGAGTAAACATGTGCTTAGCAAGTCGCATAATAAGTTGCATGGACTCACTCTGTGCTCAATAATAGTGTTTAACATGAGTTTTGAATGACTACCTCATCTCTGTTCCCCACACATACAATTATCTGTAAGGTCCCTCAGTCGAGCAGTGAATTTCAAACCCAGATTCAACCACAAAGACCAGGGAGGTTTTCCAATGTCTCGCAAAGAACGGCACCTTTTGGTAGATAAAAATATAAATAAGAGAACTGAGGATCAGTAGCGGTGGGTAAAATCACGCGGGAAGCCAAGCCAGGGAATAAAAAACACATTACAACCTATGTGTTATGATAATTGCGTTGTTTGCTCTATAACCTGTTAGTTCATATGCCTTGCCACAGTGATGTATAGGCCTAAAGGCCGAGACAATAAGAAGACAGTGGCAGAATAAATTGAACCACACCTTTGTTTCATCACAAAACCGGAGAAAACCTCTGTCCGGTGAAGCCCACAAAACATATTGCATGTAACAAACAGTTACGTGACCTACAGCATGGTAGAGCAAGTTAATGTTTCCAACAATTTTGAACTACTAAACTATTGATTTAGAACCACGGAGCGTTACCACAAGTCGCAAAGAAAACAGGCTCTGCCTCCACTGATCCAGGACCCTTTCAATGTAATAATTTCAACATCATCTAATCACCTATGCTTAGTCGAATAGTGACAATTAAAAGATACCCAAAAAAAGTTTTAGTCCAATCAACGTAAGCTAAATTTGATGTGGCTGTCCAATGGTACTGATTCGTGTGTGTGCGTGCTTGCAAGTAGAAAAACATGTTGACTCACCCTACTTGTAGAGAAACGCCAGCAATGCCATCCTCTTTCATGTTGCCTAAACGGTCTATGACTCTGTCATACAGTACACACTTTTAGTTTTTGTTGTCCTAGGCAACCTAAAATGCTTGCTCACTAGCCTAAGTTTCTTTCATGGGCAACGATACGTCAAGCCAACTAGTTAACATTAGCCTACTACATCTAGCTACATGTTGAACTTCCATCCTCTCAGGCCAGGGGCACAACAATGCATTAATGAATGGTTGGATCAGAATCACCGTTAGAATCATTGGCCAGTACTGAGAATTAGTCCTAACTCCTATCTCCATGTCACGATCGTCGTATTGAACAGACCAAGGCGCAGCGTGATGAACGAACATGTTTAACTTTATTATCTTTAGTGATAATAGACACAATCAACAAAACAAGAAACGACTCGTGAAGTCCACGGTAACAATGACCGAACACGGAACAAGAACCCACAAACACAAAGGGAAAATAGACTGTATAAATATGGCTCCCAATCAGAGACAACCAACGACAGCTGACACTCGTTGCCTCTGATTGGGAGTCACTCTAGCCAACATAGAAATAAACACAACAGAATTACCAACATAGAAATAAACACATAGAATGAACACACCCTGGCTCAACATATAGAGTCCCAGAGCCAGGGTGTGACAGTACCCCCCCCTAAAGGCGCGGACTGCGACCGCGCCTCAACCTGAACAAAACAGGGGAGGGCTGGGCGGGCATACCTCCTCGGCGGCGGTTCTGGCTCCGGCCTTGACCACCACCCTCCAATAAACCCCCCATAGCGCCCCTGGTCCAGTCTGGCCCCGCCGGCTGGAGCTGAACTGGACTTAGCAGGAGCGGTTAGCTTCAGCTCCATAGTGGAGCAGTTGACCGGTACCTTACCAGGCACCGGTGACCCAGGCACGGGTTGTGCTGGACTGACGACGCGCACCCCTGGCTTGGTGCGTGGAGGAGGAACGGGCCTTACCAGGCTGACGACTCGCACCCCTGGCTTAGTGCGTGGAGGAGGAACGGGCCTTACCAGGCTGACGACTCGCACCCCTGGCTTAGTGCGTGGAGGAGGAACGGGCCTTACCAGGCTGACGACTCGCACCCCTGGCTTGGTGCATGGAGGAGGGACGGGCCTTACCAGGCTGACGTCTCGCACCCCTGGCTTAGTGCGAGTAGCAGGAACAGGCCTTACCAGGCTGACGTCTCGCACCCCTGGCTTAGTGCGAGTGACAGGAACAGGCCGGGCCGGGCTGGCGACGCGCATCGTAGACTTGGTGCGAGTGGCAGGAACAGGCCGGGCCGGGCTGGCGACGCGCACCGTAGACTTGGTGCGAGTGGCAGGAACAGGCCAGGTCGGGCTGGCGACGCGCACCGTAGACTTGGTGCGAGTGGCAGGAACAGGCCGGGCCGGGCTGGCGACGCACACCGTAGGCTTGGTGCGTGGAGCAGTGACAGGCCGGACTGGGCTGGCGACGCACACCGTAGGCTTGGTGCGTAGAGCAGGGACAGGCCGGACTGGGCTGGCGACGCACACCGTAGGCTTGGTGCGTAGAGCAGGGACAGGCCGGGCTGGGCTGGCGACGCACACCGTAGGCTTGGTGCGTAGAGCAGGGACAGGCCGGACTGGGCTGGCGACGCACACCGTAGGCTTGGTGCGTAGAGCAGGGACAGGCCGGGCTGGGCTGGCGACGCACACCGTAGGCTTGGTGCGTGGAGCAGGGACAGGCCGGACCGGGCTGGCGACGCACACCGTTGGCTTGGTGCGTGGAGCAGGGACAGGCCGGACCGGGCTGGCAACGCACACCGTAGGCTTGGTGCGTAGAGCAGGGACAGGCCGGACTGGGCTGGCGACGCACACCGTAGGCTTGGTGCGTAGAGCAGGGACAGGCCGGGCTGGGCTGGCGACGCACACCGTAGGCTTGGTGCGTGGAGCAGGGACAGGCCGGACCGGGCTGGCGACGCACACCGTAGGCTTGGTGCGTGGAGCAGGGACAGGCCGAACCGGGCTGTGGAGACGGATAGGAGACCTGGAGTGAAGAGCGGCCACAACCCGTCCTGGCTGAATGCCTACCCTCACACACTCTGTGTGAGGCATCCGCACAGGACGTACAGGGCGGTGTATCCGTAACCTGGTGGCCTTCTGAATCCGCTTTTCTGCCTCCGTCAGCCCCGTCGTCCATGCCGTGTGCCCCCCCCTAAAAATGTTCTGGGGTTGCCTCTCGACCGTCCGACGACGACCCTGATCACGCCGTTGCTCCTCTCTACGGCGCCTCTCCACTGTCTCACTCCATGGCCGGCGATCCATCCTGGCCAGGATTTCCTCCCAAGTCCAGGACCCTTTACCGTCCAATATCTCCTCCCATGTCCAGGCTGCCTGCTCCTCTCTACGGCGCGCCTCCACCGTCTCTTCTCCCGGCGCTTCCTCCCATGTCCAGCCCAAGAGCTGCCCCTGGACACGCTGCTTGGTCGTTGCATGGTGGGTTCTTCTGTCACGATCGTCGTATTGAACAGACCAAGGCGCAGCGTGATGAACGAACATGCAACGACCAAGCAGCGTGTCTTTAGTGATAATAGACACAATCAACAAAACAAGAAACGACTCGTGAAGTCCACGGTAACAATGACCGAACACGGAACAAGAACCCACAAACACAAAGGGAAAATAGACAGTATAAATATGGCTCCCAATCAGAGACAACCAACGACAGCTGACACTCGTTGCCTCTGATTGGGAGTCACTCTAGCCAACATAGAAATAAACACAACAGAATTACCAACATAGAAATAAACACATAGAATGAACACACCCTGGCTCAACATATAGAGTCCCAGAGCCAGGGTGTGACACTCCATCCATGGCTAATTTAGGAATGAGCCGATTTTAGCTAGCTAGCAAGCCACCGGAGGACAACAACACAATGAGATGCAACAATTAAAAATGTTTCTGTCAATGACGTTTGGCTTGATGTGATGTGATTGGTGTGAAGCTAAATCCAAACGGGCTTCCCTTGACACTTTCTTTTGGTGAGCCAGGACCATTCACAGCTGAGCTCACCCTGTTTAACTCAAGGCTGATTGGCTATTATTTTATATTAATTTTTTATCAAGGGAGCCCAAATGCTTGCTGGCTTCCCTTACATTCAATAGTTGGGCTACACATTCTGAGACAGAGGGGAGCTGTTTCGTTCGCTCGGATGCTTTCTCCCGTGGAATATATTCAGCCTCTTTTGCGAATTGAAGGAAATGTATTAAACACAGAGAGACTAAATATACATGTTATATATATTATTTTTTGGGGGTCCATTTTGGGAGAAGCC